AGGAAAAGGAAGAAGCCTTCTCTGTCAGAATGCTCTGGTGCTTCACAAAACTACAGTTCCCAAAATTCCATAGCACTGAGTCATAGCAGTTGAAGTGGGGTCAAACTGGATTATTTCTGCAGTGCAGATGCAGCCTTTGGTCATGTTGATTTATTATTTTTTAGCAGCCTCCTTGATCTGACAGAGCTGTGAAAAATTAGTGTGTAAGGACATACTGGAGTGCTCACTTTTTGCCATTTCTTACAGTGTGGGAGGAAGGTATGCGAAGGCTGCTCCCAAGACCTTGAGCCTTTGCATCGATCCACCCAAATAGCAAAATGCTCACTTGTGCACAGTGGTTCACCTCTTGAGTCATTAAGGTTTAATAGTCTCAATCCTCGGAACAGCAGGGGAATTTTTCTGCCTGGAGTTGTGTAGGTGAAACAAGATCATGGTTGCAGCTCCTTTTGGATTAAGATGTATGAACCCACAGCAGCCACATAAATTACTCCTACGCACTGAACTTAAAAAAAGCTACTTGCCCACCAAACACATTGCAGGAATTATTACTTATAACTGCAAAGAGCAGAGTATGAGAAGAAACACGCCAGAGATGTCAAGTACTGGGAAAGAACACATAGTATAATCCTCTGAGCCCTGTGCTATTATCGCCTCTGAAGATATTGGAGGGGGGGATTTAGCATATCCCCTCGATCAAAAATTTCCTCAACATTTAATGCTTAGTCTCCCTCTATTTTTCACCATATATACTCACTCCTCCGTATCCACAGACTCTGCATCCATGGATTCAACCATCCATGGCTTGAAAACATTGCAAACAATTCCAAAAAGCAAACCTTGATTTTTTGCCATTTTACACTATAAATCCACAAAACATCTTTTTTGGGCCAACCGAAAGGCACGAAATACACACTGCAAGCTTTCGAAGCTCCGCTGTCGCAACATGCATTCTGTGCATTTTGATTGACCTCTAAAATGGTATCACTGTTTTGTGGATTTTGGAGGTTATTGTACTTTGCTACCTGGCTACTAACATGGCTCCCCCTGGATATGTTTTCATATTTTTTGGTGCTTGACCATTTAGTACACTTCTGGCTGATAACTGCAGTGGAGGCTCAACTGCATAGGAATGTTGGTGGCCCACTTTTGCTTGGACATTTCAGGGGTACGTCGACCCCCCAAAAACCCAGTCTGGAAGGGGTCAATCCCCATTCCTCCCTCCCTCCCCTTCTTCCAATATCCCTAGTGCTGCTTTTATGAGGTTTACTTCTGCCGGCATAATACAATAAGCCATGTGCCACAGTCTCCCATGCTGATGAAAGGAATTATAATCAAAAAATGCAACTTGCCCAGATCCCTGGAGTGCACAGAGAGGGAGAGAGAAAGAGAGAATGGAAAGAATCAGAGTATATTCAAGTGCTGGGAGCGGAAGGAAGAGTACTCTGTAAATGCATGTGAGGCAGGAAGGAAAGGGAGGTGTAGAATATTGTTAAGAGATCATCCCCAGCCAGGGAGAGCTGGAAGTGAGCCAGGCGTTGGTGGATGCACTGGGATGTATGCGTGGGGGATTGCAGGAGAACCCTTGCAAAGAGAGCCAGCATGGCGTAGTCGTCTGAGTGTCGGACTACAACTCTGGAGACCAGGGTTCGATCCCCATTCAGCCATGAAAACCACTGGGTGACCCTGGGCAAGTCATACTCTCTCGGATGAAGGCAACGGCAAACCTCCTCTGAATAAATCTTGCCAAGAAAACCATGTCATAGCTTTCCTTTAGCGTCACCATTTAAGTCCAAGGCACGTAGCAGGACCATCTTTTTCAACAAGACTTGCCATCTCGTAATACACCTGAAGTACAATAGCCTTGCTGTTGCATGTCCTTTAAGGCATTTCCGACTTATGGCAACCCTACCACAGGGATTTCCTGGCAAGATTTGTTCAGAAGGAGGGTTGCCATTGCCCTCCTCCGAGGCTGAGAGAGTGTAACTTGCTCAAAGTCACCCAGTGGGTTTCCATAGCTGAGCAGAGATTTGAACCCTGGAGAAGACATCAGGAATTTATCCCAGGATCCCATGGCTGTCTTTTTCTTCTGTTCTACCTTAGACCTTCCAAATTTTGCAAAAGGAAAGGGAGCCACAAATAATTCATCCCCCCCCCCCCCAAAAAAAAAAAAAGTTGTTGTTTTAAGTGCAAAGCATCACAAGGGATGAGCCAGAGAGGAACTGTGTGATGACTTTAAAATGTCTGGCCCCTCTGTACTGTGCACAGCCAATTTCTGCTGCGGATTTCCATGTTCCTTTTTCTTCCTCCTCCTGGGACTCAAGAGCAGAAGAGAAATGGTTGTGCTTTGAATCCAGCAAGAATGCTTTAGAGCAGCCTCACTGCTCTAAAAAGAGATGTCAGTCTTTGTGCTTTACTTTATTGTATTCATCAAATTTGCAAAACAGGCAAAGCCTTGAAAAGCGGCTTGAAGAGTTGCTTTACGATGACAGCCTGTCCTGGAGCCTGACTGCTGTGCTGCTATCTCAACAAAGCAGAAAGAGAAATTCAACAGGTGGAGCTCTCTGCAGTGCTGCACTGGCCTACACAGATGACAAAAATTGACTTTTTGGATTTCTGTCAGCAACAAAGCTGCTTAAAAATGTGAAAGAAGAGTTAGCAACTCTGTTGGACAGCCCCAAAATGTAGAGCGCAATGCTGCAATGTTAGAAGGCAGCAAGAAAAAGCAAGGGTGGTGTAGTGGCTTGACTGTTGGACTATGACTTTGGAGACTAGGGTTCGAAACACAATTACTACAACCACCATTAATTTTATGTGTAAAGTTGAGAGAGAGCCAGCATGGCATAGTGGTTTGAGGAGCCTTGGACTATGACTCTGGAGGCCAAGGTTCAAGTCCCTGCTCAGCCATGGAAACCCCCTGGGTGACCTTGGGCAAGGCACACTTTCTCAGCCTCAGAGGACAGCAATGGCAAACCTCCTCTGAACAAATCTTGCCAAGAAAACCCCATGATTGTGTCACCTTACAGTGGCCATAAGTCGGAAATGACTTGAAGGTGCACAACAACAAAAAAGAATTACAAAACCAGCCACGATGGTGCCAGGGAAATATACCCTTCAACTGTCCTGATTCAGTAGGGACAGTCCCAATTCATCCTCTTTCATCCTACTTGTTGCCATCCAAAATAAGTCACTATTCCCAGTTGCACTTAGGCCTGATGATAAAAAATCTGCCAGGTTGCACAGTGGGAGAGCCAAGAGTTGTGTAGTTTCCTTAACACATGTGAAGCACCCAACATCTTTCTCACAAGCTCACAACAGGCTTCAGAGATAAGAGAATACCTCTTCTGTATTCTACAACCTTGCCTGAATTGAGGACTCTCCACAGAGCCAGGGTAAGGGAAACTCACAATGATGCCTTGAACCAGGAATGCAAACAGTGATGACCAGGAAACCTCCTTTTCCAGGACATGTCCTACATTTCAACCTTTTGTCCAGGAGGAATGTCAGAACGTCCTCCACTTTGAGCATGACCAAGAAGCACGGGATTACACTGATGTGAGCGTTTTCAGCTTTGATTTTTTTTGTCATGTCCTATGTTTGTCTTGAATGTCCTACATGTTTGCAGTGCCTTGTCCTCTGGGTTAGGACATCTGGTCACCCTAGACAGAGACAATCTCATGCGTACTTTGTGCATTGTTGCCATCTACCGGCAAGGCATCCTACCTGCAAGCAACTGGAGTGGCTTACCTGGAACAGCCATCGCAGGACAGCATGGGGGCACCTGGACTTGCCCCGGTACAAGGAGCTGATGATGCCATCATGGAGGAGCACCATCTGGCGGGTGAACTGGGAACTGGAGACACAAAAGAGGAATCAGAGTAAATACAGTGGGCCCTCCAAGTCTGCTGGGATTTGGGATGCAGGACCCATGGAAGAGGAAAAAACCATCCACCATCCACCATCATCGATGGAGAGAAGGCAGGCCATCTCCATCAGGCCTAGCCTGGACAAGAAGAAGGGCCCTCTGCTTTGGTCCAGGCTTTAGAGGGAGAGAAGATCTGCTGGACTTATTCCCCTTCCCCACCACCATTCCCTTCTCCTTTTGTGTCTTGTCTTTTTAGACTGTAAGCCTGAGGGCAGGGAACGTCTAAGCCGCTCTGAGAGCCTTTTGGCTAAAGAGCAGGGTATAAATACTTCATCTTCATCATCATCATCATCATCATCATAGTAATACATACACAAAAAAACACTTTTTAAAAAAAGCTCTGAAAGAACACATCTCTAGGAATATCTAGGTCCTCCAGAGCAACTGTATGGTCAACATCCAACAGAGGTTGACTGCAGAATTGTGCTGGAGGACTACAAATGCCTAGAGAAGTGTTCTCTCCAGGAACCTCTAGGTCCTCCAGCATAACTATACGGTCAACATCCACGAGATGTTGACTATAGAAATGTGCTGGAGGACTACAAATGCCTAGAAAAGTGTTCTTTCCAGGAACCTCTAGGTCCTCCAGCATAACTATATGGTCAACATCCACAAGATGTTGACTATAGAAATGTGCTGGAGGACCTACAAATGCCTAGAGAAGTGTTCTCTCTAGGAATTTCCAGGTCCTCCATCACACCTGTATGGTCAACATACACCAGAAATTGACCATAGAATTGTGCCGGAGGACCTACAAATGCCTAGAGAAGTGTTCTGTCAAGGAATTTCTAGGTCCTCCAGCAGAACTTCTGGCAAAAATTGGCCACAGAGTCATGTTGGAGGGCCTAGAGAGTCCTAGAGAGAACATATTAATTAAATTTGCAAAAGTCAAAGCTGAAAGCTGCAAATGTGGATGGTTGACTGTATGGGGGAGCGATAGGGTGATTGCATGGCCATCCCTCCTACCAGCCTACCATCCCTTTCTACCACAGGCAGAAACTTTAAGGCTTTGAAAAAGAAAGAGAAAAAGGCAAAAAAGATCAACTACAGACCAGTCAGCCTGACTTCCATACAAATGAAAATATTAGAACAGATTACACAGAGGTCTGAATCCTTTAAAGTTTGGACTAAACCCCCAAGCAAATTCACTGCCCTACCAGTTGCCAGTATACATGACAAAAGATAAAAATCCCGCTGGGACCAAGCAGGAATCGAACACACAGGTAGGCATACAGACATCCAGAGTCCACACTACAATGAAAAAGTTCAAGGTTTTTTGTTTTTTAAAACCTTAGTTGTTTTCAGATCTAACTCGAAAAAAAATATATGGCTGGAAGGTCACCATATGGGACCCACATCAAAGCCAGTGAAATCAACCTGCAGACAGATTGGAAAGCAATTGGCAAGGCTGCATGGTCTGGCAAATCCTATGCAGAGAGCTCCACCAAAGGGCCCAAGGATGAATCCTTGATTTATTTAGATGTTCAGAAAAAAATGCCAAGCATGGACTAGGGAAAGCCTGAGTCTGAATCCTTAATCAAGTAGCTCCATGGTGCATTTAATCTAGTTTATATTTTGGGTATAGCTACACAACAGTTAGGGACGCGGTGGCTCAAGTGGTTAAGACGCTGACTCTGTTGATTGCAAGATCAGCAGGTTAGCAGTTCAAGGCCCAGGTGCTGCATGATGGGTTGAGCTCCCATCACTAGTCCCAACTTAGGCCAGCCTAGCAGTTCGAAAGCATGCAAATGCAAGTAGCTAAATAGGTACCAGTTCAGTGGGAAGGTAAACAGCGTTCTGGGCAATTTTACTGGCCACATGATCACAGAGTAGCCTTTGACAATGCTGGCTCTTTGGCTTAGTAACAGAGATGAGCATCACCCCCTATGGTTGGACACGACTTGACAACCTTGTAAATGGGGAATACCTTTACCTGTACCTTGACACAACAGTTATATATCACTCCCAATACTAGAAGCAGTCTCACCTCTACACTTGCTGGGAATCAAAGATGGGATGCTACTGGTGTGCAACCAGGGCCAGCTTTGTGGGCTTACCTATGGATCTTGGGGAGGGGGGGTTGTCCAGGGGGCAATGCCCCCCGTCTCATTCTGATTCCAAGTTAAAACTTTGCTTTACACCAAAGCTTCTGGATTCTAGGCCCAACTAGGAATCACTGCTCTCAACACACATGTGCATCCACTTGCCAACATGTCTCCATCAATATGCACCCAAGTGCAACACATATGGACAATTTTAAACATGTTTCTGTGTCCAATGGCACCACTGGAATGGCAATGTTGGACAACTGGACCAAGACTTTAGATCTGCAACATACAACCAGTGCTCATGAACATTCACGAATAAGGGCACGGCATGCGCAATTCCGCTTCCACAATCTTGAACTGAATTTGGACAGACCACATCAGACAAAAACATCCAACCACTACTAGAGGGGAACTTATGTAAGCCTCAGATGCCAACAGGATTCCAGCCTGTGAAGTCTTTTTGATTTGAAGACTTCGCCATTCGGCACTCTTAGCTTTCGATGGAAACCTTTCCCTTGGGCTTTCCTGGAGCAAAATCGTCTAAATCAGGTTGGAGGTAAACAAAAAACAACCCCAGAACAGAGCAAAAATAAGCTGACTGCTTCTTCTGTGCATTATTTCTATACAAGCTCAGTAAGTGAAAATAAAAGATGCAGGAAGGAGTCCTGTGCATTAAAGAGAAAACACAATTTTAAAAGACACCCGGCAGCCCTGCTGAAAGCGACTGTTTTTAAATAAACCTTCCCTGAACATTTGATGCCATATTTTTCTGGGACAAAATATATTTAAGCTGCTTGGAACATAATGATCCGAAGTGATGCTTCCCCCCTGGGCCTCGAGGCTGTCATTCCGCTCCCTGACTGCGTCTGGGCAATTTGATGAATTTCTCCTCAGCAGGATCTGCTGCAAATTTGGTAGAGGAAAAGTGCTCCCGGTGCTGGCTTGCTAGAAGAAAGAGTTTATTTTCTGAAAGGCAGAGTTTGCATTCAGACTCACACAAGCAAAAGTGGAACGCAAACATATTTCTTTCTTCAGTGCAAGAATGTACAAGAATTAGGAGGAATGGGGCAGGAGAGAAAGCTAGGGCAACTCAAAGCACTAGGACTGCATCCTTCTCTCACCAGTGCCAAGCAATCAATGGGTGAAAGGGCCAGAATGAATGGAGGTCCTACAGGCTCAGACATTAGCCAATACTCTCTGACTGCAATTTGCTTTCCTTCTGTCCTGAATGTGGAAGACCGGATGTTTAGGTCTTGCCCTGGATGCAGACTATGGCACTGGATTGTACTGGACAGAGGGAGAGGATGTTCAAAGGGGCTCTTAAAACTTTACATTTATTTTTGCCCAGACAAGTAGTCAGTCAAATTCTGCTGGGTATCAATCATTCCAGGGTCAACCAGCTGCAACTTTCCACTTAATAGCCCAAAGGAAGATGAGCTGGTCACCCAGACAGGGACTCCTTGTGCCTTGCTTCCTGCCTGGTGGGTCATTTCTCAGTGGGCAGAGCGACTTGGCTGAAATTCCTGCCCCAGGGTCTGTGCTGCCTATTTCAAGAGCCACCATCTCCCTTGAGCTGAAGGACGTCTTTACTACATTGCCTCTGTCTCTGTCTCAGCCCCTTAGGGGATGGAGGCTGGATTCAGACAGAAAGCAGGGATTGCTTTGTATTGTGTGAAACCAAGGGGTCTTTGTCCATTAACCAAGAGGTCATTTAAATATAGGCTAGGTCAGAAACTAAATGCAGCGGTGGAGTCTCCTGGAAGTAATTTGATTTAGGACAGCAAACTCTGAGGGAGTCCAATTCTGCCCAAGAGGAAGCCAAGACCAGCTAGCAAAACTCAAGGCAGAAACTGGGGCCATGGAGAGGCAGGAATGGAACCTGGAAGGGTAGCGAACATTAGACTGTCAGGAGAAGCTTTGCTCCTGCCATCACT